AAGACGTAACTTCACCCGGAACCACAGGCTTCGGGGGAGAGTTGTGACGATAATCTCTTTCTAGAGAGATTGAGCCTGCTCTTCCCTACCTCAAGTAACGTCCAGTTAACAAGTATAAGATGCTACATTCAAAATACATCACCGGTAGCACAAAACGTTTTGACCAGGAGGCAAAACGTACCCAAGATCCCCCCTACTCCACACACCCTCCACGCCGCTTGTCGTCAACCAGCCAAACTACCCATTCCAGCCTGCCTGCTCCTGATTGGTGACTCGCCGACCGCGCACCTGCACACTGCACCTCCGCGCCCTCTACCTGAATCGACGTCGGAGCCCTGACCAGCTATCAACTTTAGAATATTCTTTGTGCTCTTAGAGTTGACATCTCTCTCAGGCATACTAAGTTCACTAGCTTGTATACGAAGGGAGGTTTCAGCCATAGGCGATATTCTCAGCACCATTTTACTATTTCACCTTTATACTATTGTGTCTCACATTGTCTTTGCATTTATCTTTGTTATTTAATTGTACTTTTCATTCCCCCGAGATTTGTCTTTATTTTCATTTATGTTTAAAGTAAATATATTAAAGTTTCATTGTTCATACTTTGTGTTTTACGTGTTCCTCCCTCTCACTTACCACAGACAACAGGCAAGCAGTCTATCTTTTTTTTATGTGTGACCAGGCTATTGGAGGACTGCCGAACAAATACACTCCAACACTTTCCCGTCACAATATATGTATATATTATATATATATGTCCAGCATTTTCTGTTAAAGAAGAATAAACAAAAATATATACTTGCTGATCAAAGTCTTTGACTATTTATATTAGGCCTAGGACTTTATACATATAGTATAAAGTTTTATGCCGTATCCTAGGCCTATAACTTTATATTATACATATAGCATAAAATTCTATACAGTATCATAGGCCTAGAGCTTTATATTAGGGAGAGTGGAGGGAGAACATAGATGGGAAGGGTGGAGGGGAATTTGGGGTAGAGGGGAAAAGCAGCAACAAAAAAGTTGAATCGGTATCTTGCTAAAAAGATACAAGTACTGGCTTGCATGCTGAAGTCGTCTTCCTTACTGAGCGTGAAGTTGACGAGCCTTCTCTACTGTCTTATCTACCATGTTGTGTGTGCCTAGAGTAACACTCTTAAAGCTGGTATAGGCCCAAGCATCGGCTACTTCATTTGTTCTGTGTAATACATGAGGTCAGATTTCTTCAGCCATTTTTGTTTACCCTTAATTTAGTGTATTTCCTTCTGTGCCTGGCATAGTGGAGCGTCAGAATTAAGGACATTGACTAAGATGTCCCAGACTTCTGACACAGCCAATGCCGTCAAGAGCCTTAGTTGTGCGAGGGCTGCTATTCAATAGTCCAACTCTTCTTACAATGCATGTAGTGTAGGCCTATATAGTTTAGTCAGTATATTAATCATGTTTATTGTCATAGTTCCTGAAAGTTGGTTAAATGAAAAGAACAGCCAATAACAGTTTACATAATACACCCTCGTTAAATGTTCAGCTGAAGAAGGTTACAATAGACCTGTAACATTCTGACACGGGAAAAGGCTTCAAGCTCAACAAGTTACAATTAATTTAGACCAGAAAACAAGAGATGTTTTATCACTCACAGGGTTATAAACCCACGGAACACCAGACCAGCCAAAACAGTCAATGCCAAGGCATTACTCTAGTATAAAACCTATCTGGAAAAAATCCTCAGGAACAATATGGGGACATTTGACAAGCCACCGGCTTCCTGTCCCCGCCGAGGACACTTGAAAGATGGTGGCCCCCCTCAGGTAAATTTAGGTAAAACTGTCATGCTGGTTCACAGGTACACTTAAGCATTTTCGTTTGACTATTTCACTTGCAAGAAACAGATCTTACGACACTTACAGTAATTAATCTGGGGTAAATGATATGATAGCATATCTCTTACTAGTGACAAGTAACAAGTACGCACGTATAGAAAACGGTGAAGCAAACACAATGTCAAGAAAGGTCTCTGTAGACATGATCATGTTGAAGGTCACACACACAATCTGCGCATTGTCATCATGGCTATTATATAGTGACACCAGTTGCTTACTAATGCGATTACTGCAGTACGAGTTCTGAATATTGTTGTACATATCATTGAATGTGCTAACAATTAGATGGTTTACCTTGTATTGAAGTCACTGAGGATTACTATCTGCTATGCATTCAAGTCACTAGAGGTAATTATCTGCCTTGTATTGGTCACTAAGAGTAATTATTTGCCTTGCATTGGTCACTAAGAGTAATTATTTGCCTTGCAGTGGTCACTAAGAGTAATTATCTGCCTTGCATTGGTCACTAAGGATAATTATCTGCCTTGCATTGGTCACTAAGAGTAATTATTTGCCTTGCATTGGTCGCTAAGAGTAATTATTTGCCTTGTAGTGGTCACTAAGAGAAATTATCTGCCTTGCATTGGTCACTAAAGGTAATTATCTCCCTTGCAGTGGTCACTAAGAGTAATTATTTGCCTTGCATTGGTCACTAAGAGTAATTATCTGTCTTGCATTGGTCACTAAGAGTAATTATCTGCCTTGCATTGGTCACTAAGAGTAATTATTTGCCTTGCAGTGGTCACTAAGATAAATTATCTGCCTTGCATTGGTCACTAAAGGTAATTATCTGCCTTGCAGTGGTCACTAAGAGTAATTATTTGCCTTGCATTGGTCACTAAGTGTAATTATCTGCCTTGCATTGGTCACTAAGGATAATTATCTGCCCTGCATTGGTCACTAAGAGTAATTATTTGCCTTGCAGTGGTCACTAAGAGTAATTATTTGCCTTGCAGTGGTCACTAAGAGTAACTATTTGCCTTGCATTGGTCACTAAGAGTAATTATCTGCCTTGCATTGATCACTAAGAGTAATTATCTGCCTTGCATTGGTCACTAAGAGTAATTATCTGCCTTGCATTGGTCACTAAGAGTAATTATCTGCCTTGCATTGGTCACTAAGAGTAATTATTTGCCTTGCAGTGGTCACTAAGAGAAATTATCTGTCTTGCATTGGTCACTAAAGGTAATTATCTGCCTTGCAGTGGTCACTAAGAGTAATTATTTGCCTTGCATTGGTCACTAAGTGTAATTATCTGCCTTGCATTGGTCACTAAGGATAATTATCTGCCTTGCATTGGTCACTAAGAGTAATTATTTGCCTTGCAGTGGTCACTAAGAGTAATTATTTGCCTTGCAGTGGTCACTAAGAGTAATTATTTGCCTTGCAGTGGTCACTAAGAGTAATTATTTGCCTTGCATTGGTCACTAAGAGTAATTATCTGCCTTGCATTGGTCACTAAGAGTAATTATCTGCCTTGCATTGAAGCCACCCATAATGATGGTCGGGTTTAGCACAGTTTTGAAGGTTCATATAATTAAACTTGTCAGCAGACTGGAAATATTGAGTTAAGAGTTTACTTCATAAATTCTCACTCCGCGGTACTGAAGCCCTTCGGTTCTTCAGCTGTGAGGAGAAAGGAGGGGGGGAGGTCAGGGGGATTTTTGTAACCTGCGAGATATAGAAGTTAAGCGATTAATGGTTGTAGGCAAGAAGGGAGTGGGTGTAGGAGGGGGTCAGTGATTGGGTGTCGCAGGGGGCTTGGGGTGGATATGGGATTATATTCAGCTTTTGCTACAGTTCTGGCTGTTTATATACTATTCTCAGGTAGCCGTTGGTGGGACCTACACCGGGCTCTTTCCATCCCCCTCTGCTAGACATGGTTCTTGGTCCTACCTTTCCTCATTTAGGGAGATTGGTTAGGGATAGTTCTGTCCACCTCCGTTCCCTCCCTAGTGGAGATTAGTCCTGGGCCCTCACTTGCATCTCTGGTTAAAAGTTAAATAACCAGTCACATTTCTTTAATAACTCACACAAGTGCTGTAAAACTTGCCAGCACATCACCGAGAACATATTCGCCTCGCAGCAACTACAAAACCGGCTGATATCTTACTCTCAGACCTTAAATAGATCCGGATTTCCCGGATGCGGTTGTTACCTGTGATGGGAGCTGGAGACGGTTGGCAGCGAGGCTTCCGCAGCGTCGTGCACTACAAGTATTTCAAGGTCATTAGCCTTTTAATATTACATTTAAATGTTTGTCTCCTCTTCCCCCATCCCTACGGCCACGTTGTCACCTGTGAACATCCCTACGGTCACGTTGTCACCTGTGAACATCCCTACGGTCACGTTGTCACCTGTGGACATCCCTACGGCCACGTTGTTACCTGTGGACATCTCTACGGTCACGTTGTCACCTGTGGACATCCATACGGCCACGTTGACAACTGTGGACATCCCTACGGCCACGTTGTTACCTGTGGACATCCCTACGGTCACGTTGTCACCTGTGGACATCCATACGGCCACGTTGACAGCTGTGGACATCCCTACGGCCACGGTGTCACCTGTGGACATCCCTACGGTCACGTTGTCACCTGTGGACATCCTTACGGTCACGTTGTCACCTGTGGACATCCTTACGGCCACGTTGACACCTGTGGCCTCCCCCACCCTCCATGGCCACGGTCTCACCACGTGATCAGGGGATACGAATATCAAGACAATAATTCGCCTTACCATTACACGAGTGAAAGTACACGTCTAAGAACAGGTTAATGTTGCTACTGATGTACTCAACATGTTCCTAGTATGCTCATTACTTGAAACTCTTGTACTCTGTGCATGTCGGATAAGAATGATAATCACAATATATGCCAAAAAATATATTTAAAATGCAAATACATTTTGATTTGTTGATAATTCATAATATTTTTTTTATACAGTACATAACTTTTTTTTATATGTACAATATTGGAATAGAGGTAATATAATGCCTTCAGTATGAGGTGAGGTTTATCACAGATATCCCTAACACTGTTATATGGGGGAAGGTTATCTTGAGGTTATCTTGAGATGATTTCGGGGCTTTAGTGTCCCCGCGGCCCGGTCCTCGACCAGGCCTCCACCCCCAGGAAGCAGCCCGTGACAGTTGACTAACTCCCAGGTACCTATTTACTGCTAGGTAACAGGGACATTCAGGGTGAAAGAAACTTTGCCCATTTGTTTCTGCCTCGTGCGAGCTCATATTCGCTGCGTGCTTTTGAGTTCAGTCACCGGGTATATATTTTAGTCAGCAATTTACGTCGTTAAAATGCGCGAATAATTTAGTGACACAAAATTGATATAAGAAAATACACATGTCCGTTAATCTTTGTATGTGGTGTATAATCATGGTGTTTGATGCCCGGACCTGCGCGAGGAGACCTGCGCAGGCCGTCTTTCCTGCTCCCTTTCCTAGCTGCGCGTCATCTTGCAGTCCTTATTCACCGGGCCACCTGCGCACTGGTGCATGGGGCCACCTGCGCACTGGTGCATGGGGCCACCTGCGCACTGCTGCATGGGGCCACCTGCGCACTGCAGCATGGGGCCACCTGCGCACTGCAGCATGGGGCCACCTGCGCACTACAGCATGGGGCCACCTGCGCACTGCAGCATGGGGCCACCTGCGCACTACAGCATGGGACCACCTGCGCACTACAGCACGGGGCCACCTGCGCCCTACAGCATGGGGCCACCTGCGCACTACAGCATGGGCCACCTGCGCACTAAAGCACATGTCCATTAAAGGTGTAAATGAAGGTGGCTTCCCCAACTTCTTTTCTTAAGGCACCCTTAACGTTAATGGTGTTCGTTGCCGAAGCCATGGTAGTCGGTGAAGTGTGTGTGGCCCCCGGACGGGTAGTAGGTGGTGTAGTGGGTGTGGTCGCCGTGGTGGACGTGGGTGGTAAAGGGAGCACCGAAGGGACTGTAATGTCTGCGATATCCACCAAAACCAAACTGAGCCGCCGCCAGAGGGCTTGGCAGGGCTAGAGTCAACCCCGCCGCCACACACACGCACATCAACACCAGTATCTGCGGAAAGACATTGTCTTAATATGATATTTCGCCCGTGTTAATTTAAAACTACATGATTAATCATAATTTATGGATCGATGATCACAAATACATTAAGGTGTGAGAGTGAAAGAGAGCGAGGAGAGGGGAGAGAGGGGATAGGTAAAGGTGCGGGGGGAGAGATAGGTGGACCAGCACATGGTATTGCTGCAACACACTCGCTGTACACTGACTCATAAAGTCCGGTCACCGCTACACTAGCATGCCAAGGCGCGAGAGTAGGAATAAGACCTTGAAACCTTAGCAACATGTCTAACTTCATTTCCTGGGTGGAAGTGTGACTGTGAATATTATAACTAGATTATATTGTACCGCGGCTCATATCACAACCCGTTCTCACACCAGGCTGTTTAAAACAGCGGCCGTCCTCCCCAGATGCATTCTTCAATTTTAACATACTATGTATTAAATATTGGTTTGTTCTCATATATAAATTAATATTCTTATTCATAAAAAAATTTTGGCGTAGGTTAGATTATGTGCTTAGGTTCTGTTGGTAATTATTTGTATTTATAGGTTCGTGGGTGAAGCATTTCAACCCGTCCTCGACTCAAGTCCATTACATTCAGCGGTCGACCCCACAGACGCATTCATAAATTTTAACATGCTGTTCATTTAAAACGGGAATTTTCTCAAGTATAAATTAATATTATAATATATTGGCATATTGTGTATATATAGGCATAGGATAGGTTAGGTTAGGTGATTAGGTTCTGTTGGCGATTATTTGTATTTATAGTACGTGGGTGAAGCATTTATAGCGTTGTGATTCGAACAAAATTCGTCAGTGAAGCACTTGTTCCGGATATGTTCGAACGTCAGCAGTTGTGAGTCGTGTGTAAACCGTTTTTCATTCATAAACAGGGGGTTTGGCGGGTGCATGGAATCACTTTTGGATCTTTGTTTGGAGGACGGGCTGAGCATTTATAGAACTGTGGTTCGAACAGAGGACGTGAGCGAAGCACTTGTTCCGCAAGTGTTCGGACGTCATCAGTTGTGAGTCGTGTGTAAACAGCTTTTCGTTCATAAACAGGGGGGGGGGGTTGGCGGCTTGATTAAAGAGCTTGGATCTTTGTTTGTATGGGAGAACGGGTTGCATACCGTAAACGGTAGGCCGAAGCATGACTTATGAACACAGAAAGGACATTGAACCGATCCCAGTTAATATATAGAATACTGTAGTTCTGCCAGTTCTGAAGAAACAATGTTTATTAGGCAATGAAAGTCGCGTCTGGTGTCGAATTTTTAATTCTTCTAAAAACGTGTTAGTCTGTGTATACAAGTTATCCTGAAGTTGATTTTTTAACTTGACTATATAGGGCAACAAGCGTTTTAAAACATACATTTACATTAATATTAGTTATATAAGATTAATTTAATCAAAATGACATTCAGTAATCACGATTTCCTAAGATGTATTGACACTACAGTAGGAAGGAAGACACGTCAACAACACTTACAATCTTCATGCTGGTTGTTAAGACGCCAGCCGCTGCCCAGGACTGTTGTGTGCTTGTGAGGTGCGCAGGTGAGTCCCGGATATATATACCCGAGGGTGTGAGGAGTGGCCTTGAGAAGGTAGGCAGGGGAGGTGCTAGCAGCCGTCGCTCGCCAAAAATGGCCACAAAATGGGTAACGTTCGCCACTCAACATTTGAGTGCACGTAAACATTCCGTTGTTGACGTGCACTCAAAGTTTAAAAATATAGACCGTACAGCGAATGGCTTACGGGCTCGCCATAGCCCGTGCTACATGGACATTCCGTTGTCAGTAGCTAAATCTAAAACAACGACAACAACATTGTATTGTGACTCGCAGATAACGGCCAGTAATTTAACATAAGTATTGTCAAGATAGATTATACTGGGTGTCTTTTGTTGTTATTATACTGGGTGTCTTTTGTTGTTATTATACTGGGTGTCTTTTGTTGTTATTATACTGGGTGTCTTTTGTTGTTATTATACTGGGTGTCTTTTGTTGTTATTATACTGGGTGTCTTTTGTTGTTATTATACTGGGTGTCTTTTGTTGTTATTATACTGGGTGTCTTTTGTTGTTATTATACTGGGTGTCTTTTGTTGTTATTATACTGGGTGTCTTTTGTTGTTATTGGATATTATAAATTTGTGAGTTGCTTCATGTTAGTCCCTCTCCCTGCAGTGTTGCCGGCGTCCCTGCAGTGTTGCCGGCGTCCCTCTCCCTGCAGTGTTGCCGGCGTCCCTCTCCCTGCAGTGTTGCCGGCGTCCCTCTCCCTGCAGTGTTGCCGGCGTCCCTCTCCCTGCAGTGTTGCCGGCGTCCCTCTCCCTGCAGTGTTGCCGGCGTCCCTCTCCCTGCAGTGTTGCCGGCGTCCCTGCAGTGTTGCCGGCGTCCCTGCGCAGTGTTGCCGGCGTCCCTGCGCAGTGTTGCCGGCGTCCCTGCACATTGTTGCCGGCGTCCCTGCACAGTGTTGCCGGCGTCCCTGCACATTGTTGTCGGCGTCCCTGCACATTGTTGCCGGCGTCCCTGCACATTGTTGTCGGCGTCCCTGCACATTGTTGTCGGCGTCTCTGCACAGTGTTGCCAGCGTCCCTGCGTAGTGTTGCCGGCGTCCCTACAGTGTTGCCGGCGTCCCTACGCAGTGTTGCCGGCGTCCCTGCACATTGTTGTCGGCGTCCCTGCACATTGTTGCCGGCGTCCCTGCACATTGTTGTCGGCGTCTCTGCACAGTGTTGCCGGCGTCCCTACGCAGTGTTGCCGGCGTCCCTACGCAGTGTTGCCGGCGTCCCTGCGCAGTGTTGCCGGCGTCCCTACGCAGTGTTGCCGGCGTCCCTACGCAGTGTTGCCGGCGTCCCTGCGTAGTGTTGCCGGCGTCCCTGCGCAGTGTTGCCGGCGTCCCTGCGCAGTGTTGCAGGCGTCCCTGCGCAGTGTTGCCGGCGTCCCTGCGCAGTGTTGCCGGCGTCCCTACGCAGTGTTGCCGGCGTCCCTACGCAGTGTTGCCGGCGTCCCTGCGTAGTGTTGCCGGCGTCCCTACGCAGTGTTGCCGGCGTCCCTGCGTAGTGTTGCCGGCGTCCCTACGGAGTGTTGCCGGCGTCCCTACGCAGTGTTGCCTGCGTCCCTGCACAGTGTTGCCAGCGTCCCTGCACAGTGTTGCCAGCGTCCCTGCGTAGTGTTGCCGGCGTCCCTGCAGTGTTGCCGGCGTCCCTACGCAGTGTTGCCGGCGTCCCTGCACATTGTTGTCGGCGTCCCTGCACATTGTTGCCGGCGTCCCTGCACATTGTTGTCGGCGTCCCTGCACATTGTTGTCGGCGTCTCTGCACAGTGTTGCCAGCGTCCCTGCGTAGTGTTGCCGGCGTCCCTGCAGTGTTGCCGGCGTCCCTACGCAGTGTTGCCGGCGTCCCTGCACATTGTTGTCGGCGTCCCTGCACATTGTTGCCGGCGTCCCTGCACATTGTTGTCGGCGTCTCTGCACAGTGTTGCCGGCGTCCCTACGCAGTGTTGCCGGCGTCCCTACGCAGTGTTGCCGGTGTCCCTGCGCAGTGTTGCCGGCGTCCCTACGCAGTGTTGCCGGCGTCCCTACGCAGTGTTGCCGGCGTCCCTGCGTAGTGTTGCCGGCGTCCCTGCGCAGTGTTGCCGGCGTCCCTGCGCAGTGTTGCCGGCGTCCCTGCGCAGTGTTGCCGGCGTCCCTGCGCAGTGTTGCCGGCGTCCCTGCGCAGTGTTGCCGGCGTCCCTGCGTAGTGTTGCCGGCGTCCCTACGCAGTGTTGCCGGCGTCCCTGTGTAGTGTTGCCGGCGTCCCTACGGAGTGTTGCCGGCGTCCCTACGCAGTGTTGCCGGCGTCCCTGCACAGTGTTGCCAGCGTCCCTACGCAGTGTTGCCGGCGTCCCTGCACAGTGTTGCCGGCGTCCCTGCACAGTGTTGCCGGCGTCCCTGCACAGTGTTGCCGGCGTCCGTGCACAGTGTTGCCGGCGTCCGTGCACAGTGTTGCCGGCGTCCATGCACAGTGTTGCCAGCGTCCGTGCACAGTGTTGCCGGCGTCCATGCACAGTGTTGCCGGCGTCCATGCACAGTGTTGCCGGCGTCCCTGCACAGTGTTGCCGGCGTCCCTGCACAGTGTTGCCGGCGTCCGTGCACAGGGTTGCTGGCGTCCATGCACAGTGTGGCCGGCGTCCATGCACAGTGTGGCCGTCGTCCATGCACAGGGTTGCTGGCGTCCATGCACAGTGTGGCCGGCGTCCATGCACAGTGTGGCCGGCGTCCATGCACAGTGTGGCCGGCGTCCATGCACAGTGTGGCTGGCGTCCATGCACAGTGTGGCCGGCGTCCATGCACAGTGTGGCCGGCGTCCATGCACAGTGTTGCTGGCGTCCATGCACAGTGTTGCTGGCGTCCATGCACAGTGTTGCTGGCGTCCATGCACAGTGTTGCCGGCGTCCATGCACAGTGTTACCAGCGTCCCTGCACAGTGTTGCCGGCGTCCATGCACAGTGTTGCCGGCGTCCGTGCACAGTGTTGCCGGCGTCCGTGCACAGTGTTGCCGGCGTCCGTGCACAGTGTTGCCGGCGTCCGTGCACAGTGTTGCCGGCGTCCGTGCACAGTGTTGCCGGCGTCCGTGCACAGTGTCCGGCTGGTCTCCCTCCTCCAGCAGCCACGACGCGGTCGGAAATCCCTTGGACATTCCATAGCGGAAAAGATGAATACAAAAACGTAACCGAGTTCTCAAGGAGGTGTTCTACAACCTTTGTCTCGGCCATGTACAGATACGTATTTATCCACAATGTGTCCAGGGTGCCGGGGTAACCCTTAAATGCGTCAAGCTTGAATGCTAACATGCATCTGATGCTTGTTAGTTTGGGGACCATTTAAGGTTGACGCACAAATGATACTCATGCGGCCCCAGCATGATTAAGTGATTTGATGAAATAGCTGTGCCCAAAGTGGTCAACGACAGCTGTCGGGTATTGGGTTAAGGGTCAGACGACTTCCAATTCTTTTGTGCAGTCAGTGTGGCCTAGTGGTATCAGTATTGGACACGCCAAAGGGCATTGAGCCCTGACTGTCCAGACTCGAATCCTTCAAGGAGTAGAGTTTTCTGAGAAAATATATATATATTGTGACGATAATCTCTTTCAAGAGAGATTGAGCCGACTCTTCTCTACATCAAGTTACGTATATTATACAACAATAAGATGCTACCTTCAAGATACGTCTTCCAGTAGCACAAAACGTTTTGACCAGGAGGCAAAACGTACCCAAGACTCACCCCCTACTCCACACTCCCTCCACGCCGGCTCGTCATCAACCAGCCAACTACCCTTCCCAGCCTGCCTGCTCCTGATTGGTGACTCGCCGACTGCACACCTGCACTTCTGCACCTCAGAGCCCTCTACCTGAGTCGATGTCTGGGCTTGAACCAGTCATTGAAGTCAGAACATCCTTGTGCTCTCAAGCAGTGAGCAACTGATATACGCTATGTATCAGGTGGATGTTTCTCAGCTAGCGCCATATTCTCAGCACCTGATTATTTTTCACTGTGTGTTTATATTATTGTAGAGTAACTTCATCCCTAATCTTCATTTATGTTATGTGTTTTTGACTTGTTTATTTGCACTGTACATTGCCAAGGGATTGTCTTTGTTTATAATTTGTTTTCTATATTAATTAAAGTTTCATTGTTCATACTATGTGTTTTGCGTGTCTTCCCTTACTTTACCACAGATAAACAGGCAAGCAGTTTTTCTTTTTTTTTTGTAAGTGTGACTAGGCATTGACACCTGCAATTGGAGGACTGCCGAACATCTACACTCCTACACTTTCCCGTCACAAATATATATATATATATATATATATATATATATATATATATATATATATATATGTGTGTCGTACCTAGTAGCCAGAACGCACTTCTCAGCCTACTATGCAAGGCCCAATTTGCTTAATAAGCCAAGTTTTCATGAATCAATTGTTTTTCGACTACCTAACCTAACCTGACCTAACTTTTTCGGATACCTAACCTAACCTATAAAGATAGGTTAGGTTAGGTAGGGTTGGTTAGGTTCGGTCATATATCTACGTTAATTTTAACTCCAATAAAAAAAAATGGCCTCATACATAATTAAATGGGTAGCTTTATCATTTCATAAGAAAAAAATTAGAGAAGATATATTAATTCAGGAAAACTTGGCTTATTAGGCAAATCGGGCCTTGCATAGTAGGCTAAGAAGGGCATTCTGGCTACTAGGTACGACATATATATATATATATATATATATATATATATATTTGGGATGGAAAAAAGAAGTGTAGGTGTTCGGCAGTCCTATCAATGGCTGGTGTCAATGCCTATCACATTTAAAAAAAAAGATGACTGCGTAGCTGTTGTGTCCTGTGGCAAAGTAAGGCAAAACAAATAGTATGAACAATGAAACTTTAATTAAATTTAAAACAAATTTTGAATAAGACAACTCCTTGGCTATGTACAGTGCAAATTAACAAGATTATAAATTCAAAAGATAACATAAAATAATATAGTAGTGACGTTACTCTAAAATGGATAAAAGACAAAAATGAAATTAACAGGTGCTGAGAA